CAACTAAAACCCTATCACATATCCTTTCTTCTAATCTACACCTGACTCAACCTTTCTGCTCCCTCATGACCTCTGCATCCTTCCTCTTCTTCCCTTCTCATTCTCGTAGCTCCCTCCCCCTCTTTCCATGCTCTCAATTTGCTCAGGTTATGCTGACCCTTCCCCCTTCTCCAGGGGACCATGTATGTCTCTCTTAGGGTCCTCCTTGTTTCCTAGCTTCTCTGGCAGTGTGGATTGTAGGTTGGCAATCCTTTACTCTATGTCTAAAATCCACATATGAGTGAGTACATACCATGTTTGTCTTTTTGTGATTGGGTTACCTCCCTCAGAATGGTTTCTTCTAGTTCCATCCATTTTCCTGCAAATTTCAAGATTCCATTGTTTTTTTCCACTGAGTGTTACTCCATTGTGTAAATGTACCACATTTTCTCTATCCATTCTTTGGTTGAGGGGCATCTAGGCTGCTTCCAGTTTCTGGCTATTACAAATAGTGCTGCAATGAACATCAGTGAACATATGTCCTTGTTGTATGAATGTGCTTCTTTTGGGTATATGACTAAGAATGGAATTGCTGGATCTTGTGGTAGACTCATTCCCATTTTCTTGAGGAGTCGCCATTCTGATTTCCAAGTAAACAGAAGAATTTTAATTTACAAAATGTTCTCAATAATATTTTTGTTGTGAAGTTGTGTGTGTGTGTGTGTGTGTGTGTGTGTGTGTGTGTGTGTGGTCTATGAGGACATTTTAGAGTCACTTCTCCCCTTCTACTGTGGGTTCCAGAGATTATACTCAGATCATGAGACTTGTACAGTAAGTACATCTACCCAGAGAGCTATTTTACCAGCCCAGTAAATTATATTTTTAACACTATAAAATAACACTATACAGATTAACTATTATTTAAATGTTTTATTTCTGTAAATGTAATGTATGTTATTTTAAAAGAAAGTAGAAAGATCCACATGATTATACGACAGTGTGAAGTTTTCTCTGGTCTCTTAGTAGTTAGATTACAAATAGGGTCTTCCTCTGTTGTATACATTTCTTCTTTAAGCTTAGGGCCATATATACTTGTTTTTCCTTTATGATTAAAAATGTAATACGCTGTATTAAAACACAAAGGCAATGCATACTCTATAATAGTTCAGGCTTTCTGTAAGTTCATGTGGGCTTTGTCAATTAATAAATTAGTTCACGTTTTAAACTTTATATTCTGAATTGTCTATTATTCAGTTCTTTGAACAGTGCAACATGAGCCAAGCAGATTTATTCCCTGTGCTACCTGAAAAGAATGATGATCAGGGGCTGGAGAGATGGCTCAGTGGTTAGCTCTTTCAAAGGACCCGGCTTCAATTCCCAGCACCCACATGGCAGCTCATAGCTGTCTGTAATTCCATGATCCAACACCCTCACACAGACATGTATGCAGGCAAAAAACACCAATGCACACAAAATAAAAATAAATAAATCATTTTTTAAAAAAAAGAATGATACTCAGTACACAGGAAGTTAAGATGATGAGCCAGCATGACATTACTTGAAGTTAGTCATGCTTTTTAAAAACGCAGGGCTTACAAGCTCTGTGCATGCGTTCCTAGTAAAGATGCATTTGCCTTAGCAAAAGACGACTCGGTGTGGCATCCTGTGCTTCATTTTCACACCGCTGTTAACTCACTGCAAGATGTTTGACTGATAATAGTTCCCAAGTATTGCAAGGCCGCCCTTCACCGAAGCGCGTCTCCTAAAAGATACCCACATGCAGAAGCTTAGAGTGTAGCACCTGCCAGCTCAGAATGCCCACTAGGGGGTCTCAGAAATCATGTCCATACTCCTGTATCTTTGCATGTCCCCTCTTAGCACCTTGCCCATGCTAACCTTACAGCTGGCTGCATATTCCTTTAGTTTTGTGGTTCTGGCTCTTCCAGAACAGGAGACAGACAACACGACCATTCTCATCTTAACAAGTCCGTCTGTTAAATGCTTACCATGTGCCTGAAACTACCCCGCCCCCCATGTTGATTTGAATCTCCTATTAGGAAGAGTAAATGCTATTTTCTCCGTGTGATGGGTAGAAAAAACGAAGTATTTGATCGTAAAAAGACAAGATTCTAAACTCTAATGAGTGAACCCAAAACCAGTGTTGTTCTCAGTAAACTGGTTTGGTGATTCTATCTGTTGCCCTAACTAAATAGTGGACAGAAGCAACTCAGTTGGAGACAGGTTAATTTTGTCTCACTGTTTAGAATAGTCTGTCTTAGTGAGGAAGGCACAGTGGCCGTAGCAGGTCACAGGCATGACAGCTAAAAGTATGAGACAGCCAGTAACATAATGTGACAAACTAGAAGCAGAGAACTCAAGCCCAAAGTGGGCAGCTATGCTCTCAAGGCATTTCTCCTGGCTAAGCCAGCTAGCTAGCCATACCCACCCCCAAGGGCTCCACAGCCCCCACTCCCACCCGTCCGCAACTCCCATTTGGAGCTGTCAGTGGGGAACCTCGTGTTGTTCAAACCACAGCACTCCACCCCTTGCCCTCAGAGGCTCATGACCGCTTCATAATTAGTACAAACGTTACTCAGTCTAGCTTCAAGAGTCCCCAGTTGTAATAATTCAGATACTGTTAAAAATCCAGCCTGCTGAGACTCAGGGCAGAATCTTAGCTGAGCCCCTGAAGCATCAGAAAACAGATTGTATTCTTACAGTGTACAATAGCATGGAGTAGACAGTGACATTTCACAAAGGAAGGACAGGAGGAAAGGGTAGACCAAAGGAAGACTGAAACCTGTCAGGCAAAAAAGCTCCACTCCCACCCTGCAGGCCTTTGATGGCATCCTCTGAGCTCCCATGACCTCGAGTAACCTTTCCTGTCCAGCCTCTTGCCCGTAGCACACACTTCTCTCTCAGGCTGGCTTCACTCAGTTGCTACAGCCTACCTCATCAAATGCCATTGATGAGGCATCTCTGCCATCCTACAGTCTCCATGAAATGCTGGCTTCTTCCCTTTCACAGCTTCACGGTGTCAGCTTCTTAGATCTTCTCTCCAGTTACTCCAACCCTCCTACATATTGGCTTTTTTCTGGAACCTTGTGTATGGGGGGGTGGGGAGGTGAGTTTCCATTACCTCGTAACTGTAGCATTCTGCTTGCCTGGAAACAGTGCCACATGGGTGTCAGGTTCCGATGCCAGCTTGAGATGTCATGTAGTCCTCCAGGAGCATGGCTGCCGTGGCCTCCAAGCATCTGCACACCAAACTAGAGGAGGTGCTTCCCTGTGAAGCCCTTTAGAAGTAGGGGGTCTATGTGGTGTCAGGCTTATTGTTTGTACATCAAGGGTTCGCTCTCCAAATGGAAGATTTCCAATGAGCTTACAGTTTTATACTCTCCGAGTGGGATCACTCGGGCAAAGCACCTTTCTTACTGTCTTCATGGAAAGTCTGTGGGTTCCCTTTCTTGGCACCAGTTAATCTCGTTAACAGGTATCATTGCTTTCTCCTCGCTCGGATCCTCAGCCCTGTCCGCAGGTCTAAAGGCACTCTGCTCTCTTAATTTCACAGATTTTTTTTTCTTGTTCTGTTCCATTTTGGTTTTGTATTCCTGCTCTAAACCTAACTAAATGGAGTGAGCAGGGACCATGCCCCAGCCTGGATGCTCTGCTGTCAAAGTATTTCTGCCAGATAATCCCACTAGGTTTGAATTTAGCCTTGCTTGGATATTCGGGGTACAGCAGAACTCAGTCATATTTATTTATTTTTGTCAATGATCTGTAGTTCAATTCCTGGTAGATTTATTATTCTATCTGAAAGCTCTTGATTTCAATCTGTTTACATTACTGTTGCATTGTGGGCTTACACACTCCCGATGGAATGTTCTAGGACTTCTCTAGGCTACAGCTTCCTAGAAACCATTTCCAACCTCATGACCAGGTTTATTACAGCAACAATCTCACTTCTCATACCAATTTCCTATATTCATACTTGTTATATTTACATGATGGGATATCTAACTAGAAGCTACTTAGGGGAGAAGTGGTTGATTTTGGCTCACAGCTCAGGGGGTACCATCCATAATCAGAAGCCAACAACTCAAGGTCAGGGTAAAAATGACAGAAGAATTGTTGGCCTGTCTACATCCTCGTGGCTGGAGAAACAGCCCCAATAAAAACACTGAGAGTCAGAGAGATTAAACAAAATTGTCTTCCACATTTCCCTTTTCATTTAACTAATCAAGGACTGTGATGAGAGATTTGGATTGTGGGGTTTTTTTTGTTTTTGTTTTTTAAGATTTATTTATTTATTACATATACAGTGTTCTGCCTGCATGCCAGAAGAGGGCACCCAAAGGAATTGTAGACAGTTGTGAGCCACCATGTGGGTGCTGGGAATTGAACTCAGGACCCCGGGAAGAGCAGTCAGTGCTCTTAACCTCTGAGCCATCTCTCCAGCCTTTTGTTTTGTTTCTAAGACTGTACTCTAAATCAAGACTTTAGCGTGTGACCTTGAGCCAGTTATCTAACTTACTTCAATATATCAGTTTCTTGACTGAGGAAGATACGGTGATTCCCCTCAGTGTTGTGGTTTAGACTAAATAGGTTGCTAAACAGAAAAAAAAAAATGTAGAAATTTGCTTGACACATAGTGACAGTTTACTATAAAATAACCATTTGAAAATACTAAATGTTTTTATTTACCATATGTTGACTGTTGAAATAACTTTATAAAAAATATATATATAAAGTAAAATGAATTCCCCCTCCTATTTCTCCTCCCCAGAATTAACCAGAAGTGCCTTCCAGAACATTTCCTATACCGTAGAAAACTATTTTTAAGCTGTTCTTTCACTAATGAAATTGAAGTTGGGAGTTCAGTATTTTACAGTGTTCTGGAAGATGGGGACGTGAAGAGGTGGGGAGTTATCTCGCCTGTCTGCTGGAAACTCAGTGTCTGCTACAGCACTTGAGCTGCTTGGAGTATCTATTGACTTTTGTGTATTTGTTGTTTCCTTTAGGACATGATGTTTCAGCTGCTCCGAGGTCTGGACTTCCTTCATTCTCACCGCGTAGTGCATCGTGACCTAAAGCCACAGAACATTCTGGTGACCAGCAGCGGACAAATCAAACTGGCTGACTTTGGCCTTGCCCGCATCTATAGTTTTCAAATGGCCCTTACCTCAGTGGTGAGTAAGAGCACTGCCCATTCCTTAAACTTAGTTTTCCTGTTTCAAACGACAAAGTGCCCTCTTCATGCTCCGAATGTTGTTTCTTGGTCTGTGAACTGGATGTCTTTACACTTGTTAGCTGCAAGTAAGGGGAAAGTGCCTTGCTTACTGCAGATACTGTCTGGCTAGGTTTGTTACAGCAGTAGCTCGTTGGCATCTCACCCACTGGAAAGGAGTCAGTTACAAGTTTCTAAATGCTGTTTGCTGTAACTTGTGCTTTTAGAGTTGCATAGGTAATGATGGAAGAAGGCATGGCATAGGGTCTGGGTAGAGAAGGTAGGAGGAATGTCGCCTGGATTGAGAAACAGCCACACTGCCTGCCTGCCCATGTGGGATAAAGCAGTCCTCTGAAGCTGTGATGCCACCAGGAAAGAGAGAAATTAAGTTGACAGTGAATTTGAATAACCCGTGAATGATGAACGAGTAGCACCAGAGTAGAGAGAACCTGAAGCCTTGTTTTGTCAAAGATCTTAAGCTTGGGAGCCATAGCAGTACTTCCTTTGATTAGCTCTGTTCCTCTCTATAGCTCAGCTTGTTGAATTCTAGCTCAGGCTCTAAGAAGCGCACCCAGTAGTTTGTACTAATAACCCTTTCCTTTGAAAACCCTTGCTTAGCATGAATTCACGAGTAGACAGAAAGAGTGAGGGTGTTCCTTCATTGTGTTACTAGCAGGGCAGGAGATGGGCAGAGAATAAAGCTGTAGGATTGCTGCCCTCAGACACATTAAATTAAAACTCAGAACAAAGAGCCCGTATTCAGCCTCTAAGAGGTTCTGAAACCAAAACCTGGCCTGGTTGGTGCTACCCTTGAGAAATGTGAGGTGGCATCACTGGCCATTGTTGTTGTTATGTTTTTATTTAAAAAAAAGGAAAAGAGAAAGCTTTAAGATGAGACATGTTGACTAGTTTATTATACGGGTCCAGCAGAGTAGGGAGACTAAGAGAGAAGAGGAACATAGAGACAGAGAGAGTGTAGGTGGGAGAAGAGAAGAGTAGAGAGGAAAAGAGAGCGTAAATGGACAGGGATCTGTCTTTTAAAGGGGTCCTTTACACCTGCGTGCAGACTTAGTTCCCATGGAACCTTGGGCTGACCAGGGTACTGCCCGTTCCACCAGGTAACAGGGGCAGGCCAGCATAATGCCTGAATCTTTCAGTTGTGAGGGGTCAAGACAGCTCCTTTTGCTGTTAATGCTCCAAGAAGGCTGACATTCCACACAGAACAACAAACAGCAGCCTCCCCAGGTTCCTGTAGTGTCCCATGCAGAGTTGAAGTCCACAGTGGAGAAAAGTAACCTGGTCAGGAAGAGCATCCACCTCAGAGAAAGGTTTCTGCTTCCTTCTCTTTTCCTCTCTCCCCCAAGTTACAGCCTCCACAGTCTGTAAACCCCCTTTCATTCCTGGCGCTGGATCTTTCCCCCAAGGCACCAGGATTTCTCTGGAGCAGTCTTTGAAATATATTACTCTCTGGAAAGAGATCCTTACCTGTTGCCTCTTTGCCCTGTTTGCAAATGCATTAGAGTGAAGCAAGCCTTTATATAACTACACCCGAAAGGGCTGAGTCTGTGTGCTTCCCCAGTGGGAAGGGTGAGGTAGGCTTTGTGCTTCCTTAGGAAATTACTCTCCTTGTTTTGGGGGGGCCCTGGGGAGAAGCTTGAATAGGCTTTGTGATTGAGGGAATTCTTGGGGAGTAGAAAAAGGAACTAGTCCTTGGGCACATTCATTGGGAGGAGGAAGAGCCAAGCCAGCAGGACACTTCATCTTAATCCCCCTCAATTGGCCCTAAGAACTATAAATAAGAACAGAAAACCCAGTTGGGTTTTGTTTTGATTTTGTTGTTGTTGTTGTTACTAAATTTGAAGAATGGTAACCCACCTTGTAAGTTACATCAGTTGATGCCTCGTTCTTGCTGAAAGTTTTTATGTTTAAGCAGGAAAATGCAGACTAATTATTTCATATCCTGAGAAAAGGGCAATAGCAAACATAGATCTATGATTATTTGATATCTATTTTGTGTTGTCTAGTCTATATTTGCTATAGTGACATAATAAAAGGTGTTAGCAACTGGGAAAGAAATCATTCCAAAGAATGACATTTGGAATTTAATGGCAGCATTAACAGGTATGGTTTCCTTTTTTAGGGTACTGCATTTTAAAATTTTCTCACTGTTAGTATTTTTTCTGTTTACTGGAACAAATACACATAATAAAATGATGCTTTGATTTTATATACACATATAAAAATAGAATCGCTATCTTTTAAACTGAACTACTATGCTATTTTTAGTATTCGTTTAATAGGCCGCACTCTACTGCCTAAACATACTCATTTTATAGTAGGTTATGTCACAAAGGGAAATGGAAAGCCACTTAACTATGCTGATTAGCAAAAGGTTTGCAAGTTAACTTACCTGAGAACACTATCCTAACTGCTGTGAAAAATGGGAATATATAGTTTATTTTCAAGGCTTGATTCACACGCCTTTTTCTGTGAACCTCCTGCGGAGACCGACTGTTCTTTTCTTAGTGTTACCAGCATAACGCTCTTTTAAAAACAGGGTTGATTTGTGCATTCAGGGTGTATGACCTGTGTGCACGAGGCAGGCAGAAGAGGGAGTCAGATCTCTCAGAGCTGTTATTTGTGGGTCACCTGGCTTGTTATGTGGGTACTGGGGATCCAAACTCCAGTCCTCATGATTGCTCAGCAGTCACCACTAACCCCTGAGCCTTTGACCAGCCCCTAGAGAAATAGCTTTTGTATTTTTCTGTCCTGTTGATAGTTATTTGGGGCTCCTATTTACAAAATGTTGACTCATTTAAAGTGAGATTCTCACCCTTGTTCCACCTAGATGTTTGCATGGGCATTTAGGAAATACTTCTTAATGAATAAGTTAATAGATGCCGACATGTAGATGCGTGCATTTTGAGTCATAAGAAAAATAGGGAAAGAATTGTTTATATATTTAGCGATTTCAGTATCTCACATGGCTACCCTCTGGTACTACACTGAAGGACTTAGTAAAACATATACCTTCAAATGCCCGAGCTCATTTTGTACCAGGGTTGTTGATTGAGTCATTGGCAGAATTTCTGTGCAGAAGAATGAAAGTTACTTGCCATTTTTTGCCCTCATGTTAAGACTGAAAGACAGTTTGAACTTGGGTCCACAGATAGTTGAGATCTTAAATTTACAGTAATCCTCCCTGCTGAATTAATCACCTGGGTGAATCGAACATTCTGTCCTGAACAGAAAAACGTAGGGTGATATGGGCGTGCTTATTGTACTTCTGCTTACCTAAGGACATTATTGTTTTAACTCATTGGGTTTTGATGTTAGCAAGCTTTAGAAGGGGTTTTTGCATGCTTCAAAGGTAATTAACATCTTCTAAGTAAAAGAATAGGAGAATCATTAGGAAGTTTTATTATTTTCTTCACCTGTCTATGTTGATACATATAGTCATGTATGAATTTTTTTGGGTCATTAACAATAGCTTGTATTGAGGTCTTTGTAAAAACTTTACAACGTTTTCATGTGTAACCTTCCTCCAAACCTCTTTTTCTGTATGCATCCTTATCTTCAGTACTAAAGATGTTAATGACCTCAAAACATTTTCCCCATGTAGAAATCACGTGGACAATAATAAACCTAGTAAGGCTGTTGGAGAGACATAGAAAATACAAGAAAAAAAATCACTTGGGTATTTTTAATGGCAGTAATGACTCTATATTATATTACTTAATATCATTCATTTAATACTATGAGTCTGACACCATTTGAACTGCTTATACTTCCTTAGACCAGAGCTCGCTCGCTCTCTCTCTCTCTCTCTCTCTCTCTCTCTCTCTCTCTCTCTCTCTCTCTCTCTGTGTGTGTGTGTGTGTGTGTGTGTGTGTGTGTGTGTGTGTGTGTGTGTGTTAGCACTTGGTAAACACTGAAGAAACTATTCAATTTCAGAGAATTGTGTGTGCTGGGGAAAAGAAAGGAAATGGGTCTGTGGCTTTCAGTCAGCAAAATTACCAGTCACTCATATATTCCAGGTTCTGTGCACGAACCTGGGAGATGATGCTGAACTAAACCGAATAAGGCCTTTGCTCTCAGAGCTTACGAGCAAAACTAGGAGGTGGGGCTGGAAGAGATGGCTCAGTGGTTAAGAGAACAGGCTGCTCTTCCAGAAGACTTGGGTTCAAATCCTAGCACCCACATGTCTGTAGCTCCAATTCTAGGGAAGCTGACACCTTCATGCCAATGCACATAAAATAAATTTAAATAAATCATTTTTTTAATTGGGTGACAGATCTGAATATAGTAGTCACACGAGTGAATATGTCATTAGAAACCGAGGAAAGGAAGGGTACTGGTGGCCCATGCCTTTACTCCCAGCACTCCAGAGGCAGAGGCAGGTGGCTGTATGTGAGTTTGAGACCAACCTGGTTTACAAAGCATTTCCAGGACAGCTAGGACTCTTACACAGAGAAACCCTGTCTCAAAAAAGAACAAGAAACTGAGTACAATGAAGTGAAGGAGTAGGTTAGAGTTCTTTGGATTTACCCATGCTGGGGTCTGAGAAGCCCACACCATTCACCAGTGCCAGAATGTGGGATGTTCACAAGAGTCAGCAACATCCTCCTTCCAGAACCTGTCTGGATGCAGGTCCATTGGATGTGTGTGCATCAAGTCATCTGTTCATTGCAGGACACCCAGTTGGCACACTCAAGTGACAACGTGAAGTGGGACCATAGGTTGGAGAACAATGCCATCTTTGACACAAGAAAATAAATTCTTAGTTTCATCTCCATGGGTGTTGTATTTCCTATGGAGACCTGGCAGGGTTTGTTGTGCTTCAGCTTCGGCAGCTGAGTTGCTCCCACAGAAGCCTCCAGAGGCTGCCAGTGCCTACTGAATGGATCAAACCAAGAGCATTACATGAGTATCATGGAAAAACCCCAAAGCCCTGTCTCCTCA